AAATAAGACTTCTATAATGTTTGTTCAACTTAAATGTCCAATTTTTCACCAGAAAAGAAGATTTGACAACATTAACAATAAAAACCGAAACCTGTGATTGTAATTCCCATGATGGAAACAAGCAAACTTCTTTCTCTTCTCTATTCTAAATTAATTAGATTTTTTATTTTAACATAAAGAAGAATGATGGCTATGACCAGTGCTTTTATTTTCCTTCGCATAAAAACTAGTGCAGATGTTACAATTGGATTCTGAAGTAGTTATTCATTTGGAAAAAAGTAATAAATTTGATAATGCTACTGCACAATCAAAAATTAAAACCATTATCAAGCATTGGCATTTAGTTAAAACAAGAAAAAAGATGATCATACATGGTTTGAATGGCTTCAGTTTGTAGCAATCTTAGCTACTCCGATAGCTATTGGAGTACTCACAATTTCGAATAACTATCAACAAATAGATTTAACAAAATTACAACAACAAGCTGGCATTGATAATCGTATGAACGTTCTTGAACTAGCTAATGATAATCGATTAAATGATTTACAAAAGGGCGGGGGTCGATAAGTGCCAAAATGGGCACCTTTCAGATCAATATCATATTCACAGGTATCGTGTAGTTTTTTTCTACCGGATGAAAACTATCGCCTCCAAAAACCTAATTTGGCTCCCCCTGGAATCATTTTCGCATCCAAACGTTCCTCCCGTTACATGAACTTGCTTAGAGTATTTTCCTCATTTCTCCTCTTTTGCTCAAAGCAAACATCAACTAATGTATACCATTCAATAGAGAATTTCGCAGGCTACAAAGAACATATAAGACATTGCGAACAAATTGGGTCTGCGTGTCCGAACACTAAAAATATTAGTCACGACCTCTACAAATCCGTAGGTCAACATCGTTCATCTTTTACATTATCAGGTCATTTAGAACAATTTATATATGTTCTTGTCCTGGATTCGATCTTCCGACCTTTCATACGCTGTATTTCTCCAACTACGCATTTTCCCATTGCACTAAATTGTGCAAAACGAAACTACGAGTTGTGATGATACATTCGTATGAAGGCCGTACATTTATCTATATATTTAAATAGTCTTTACAAGTGATCACTCACAAGTTACTAGCTATACTATACATAAATGTCGACCTTATCTTAACGTCGACACGACTGTGTACGACAGATACTTTTACTAACGATTGCTAGTTATAAAGCACAGATGATGATGTATAACTCGTTAGAACGGGGTTTTCTTTTGAGAATACTGTTTTATAGGAGAGATATTCTGGAAATTCTATCTAAAAAATATAAAGTTGATAGAGAATTAAATTCTCGACAAAATGTCTCATTCGTTTTGACGGTGAATTTTTTCGCTAAGCACCAGGCTTTCCAAAGGCTTCCAGGTTGCGGGCTATTTTCCAGACAGGATTCGAAGTTTAGAGCGCCAATTCTCTAGTAAATCGTACCTAGCAAGACCTCTGATAAAGATAAAAATAAACTTCTTTTGGCCGTGCGGAGTACCAGTGGTTGCCATCACAAGAAAAAGTGTCACAGCGTCACGGTAATAAAATAACTTTTCTGTGATCGACAAAGATCCTGGAATGAAATTCTTTTCACTAACATGTAGGTCGTTCTCTCATCGACATAACCGCTTGCAAATAAAAATTTTCACTGGTGATTTTAGCTGAAAAGTTTGAAAAATCCCCCAGATACCAAAGAGAAAAGGGCCTTTTTTGTCACAGCGTCACGCTCTGGAAATTTGCTGTTCACTGCTAAACTTCAACCAAATTTTCTTCTTTTTTTACTGGAGATAGAGGGCGCTTGAACGAACTCCGTAGCTCTAATAGTTTTTCAGAAAAGAGCGATTTAGTGTATCAAAAATGTCACAGCGTCACGCTTGGACAAGCCGTGGAGAAAAGACAGCCCATTCAATACTGAAAGCAACTTCTTTTTAATTTCAAACTTTATTTACATAACTTAGTAATATGGTACTATTATAGTTTTTAATTTGTCAACGATTATATCTACAAAGGGTGCCTGTAATAATGAATGATGATTACATCTAACTTGCCTAACTGTCAATTGAGGTAATATCCTCTTCCATATATGAGTTTGATCCTGTTGTGTTTCATTCTTAATTGTATGGTTCTTCGTGTTTTCGTCTCCTCCTGAACTGATAAACATAAGAGCAATATCTACTATTTTATCTCCACTTCCGTCAGCTGCAACATCCATTGTGTAATCTTCTTTAGCATCATATAATGAATGTGATATTTCGGTAATTCTCTTAACATGTTCTGTTTGCTCTTTATTATCGTCTGCAGACCATACGTGTTTGTACTGTTCCAATATGGGTAACACTTGTGGCATAGTTTTACTTTGCTCTCGTGATTTGTCAGCTAGTTTATGAATAACTTCGTAATTTAATGTTTCTTCATGAAGAACGGACGTGTCAGGATCGATTAAAACCATAGTTTTAACGGTTGTTTGATGAAATCTATGCAGTTGTCGAGCCATCTCGTAAGCAATAAAACAGCCAAACTTATAACCAATCAAATGATAAGGTCCTCGTGGTTGCAATCGTCTCATTTGCGTAATATATTCTTGTGCGATTGTCTGAATCGACGTTACCAATTGTTTATCTTTTTCGTACTCGCTTGCACTAAACGCCACGATTGATGGTGAATTTTGATCCATAGACATTTTATCGACAAACGAAGAAAATATCTGAGATGAACCCGTTATATCATAAACGCAGAATAACGTTGATTTATAGTCAGAAAAATGAAGTGGTTCTATAAGAGAAATACCGGTATATTCATCATTGATCGCCAATGCATTATTTGCTTCGGTTTGGCTTTCGTTCTCAACATTGTCCTCATTGTTGGTTGCAACTGAATTATAGTTGTCAACCGTTACAGTCCCAGAATGTGTACTCAGTAATTTCGAATGAACACGTAAACTAAGATCTGTGACGGTTATTCCTTGCAACAATTCTACGACAGGAATCAATATTCTCATCTCTTTTTCTAACCAATTAAGTAGTTCCACTGCAACTAACGAATCCTCAAACGAGTCACAAATAACACAGCTTATTGAAAATATTATTTCATAGAAATAGAAAACAAACTTATTGACACGTAATAAATGAGTAGCCTATCATACCTAGTTGTACGAGTGGCGTATTCAGATCGATTCGATCTATACTTAGAGCCCCAAATAATTTCGATACTGCTAAATGGATTTTATGTTTGATTGTATCAATATCCATTGTGAAATCTGTTTTTTCATCTTTAGATATTTCTTCTTGTTCTTCAATTAAAGCATATTCATTGACAGTTTTTGTCAATGATGCTAATTTATTATTTGTTGCACGTACTCTTCTCCAATTAACAGTAAACATAATAGGACAACTAAAAGCAATTTCTGGCTGGCGTTGTCGCTGAATTAGATGTAATTGTTCAATGATTTTAAAGACATAAATAGTCGGTATTAGTTCGAGGCCTTCTGCACGTAGCATTGACATCAATGTGTCTCCACGTCTCTGAACGGTACCAACACCAGAAACTGCACATAAATCGATAGATAATGCTGGAAGATGTTTACAATGTAATCTGTAATGAGCAAGTGCATCAAGAAAATTATTACCGGCGTTATAGTTGGATTGCCCAAAATTAACAATGTGGTTTCGCAGTGACGAAAGCATAATAAAAAAGTGTAAAGGACATGATGTGATTATTGTTGCGTAATGAAGATTCCAAGCTCCTCTAATTTTTGGTCGCATTACCATTGATAATGTTTCTTGGGTCATGTTAGCAACGAAAGTATCATGGAGTACAACGGCACTATGGATAATACCACGAACAGGATATTCGCTTCGATTAATCTCAGAAATAACTTTCAGAACTTGAGCATGCACGGTCACGTCTGCTTTGACAACTTCAACATGAGCACTATAATTCGCTGCAATTGTTTTTAAATTTATCCATTCTTTAAACTGCACACTGTCTTTGTCCAATTCGTTCACATTTTTTCTTGTCATTAGTGCTATTCGTTTAACGCCATGTTCTTCAATCATCCATCTTGACATTTCAATACCAAGGCCACCCAGGCCACCAGAAATCAAAACTGTTCCCTTGTTGCACAGCAAATCAGTAAACATTTGATTATCTAAACGAGAATGGTCAAAGAATATTTTCAACGAATGAAATCGTTGTTATAAAAAAAGTAATCAGTGACCAACTTGTAATGTTCTTTTTCTGATGAAGTAAAATGTTGTCGACTTTAAATCAGAAACATATATTTTTAGGATAATGTTCAAACGAGAAAAGTTAGAAGCTTGCGAGTTCTGTTACCATATACAGGCAGTTTCATAGCTGCATATGGATGTATCGAAGGATCTACACGAAAAATGACCTATTTTCATAAATAGTTCCCCATTATGCCTTCAGCTCCACTTGATCAGTCTTCTTGATCTATTGTTTCTTGAGTTATATGAGCTCTATTCAATTCTGAAAAGTTCGAGCTGTTTTCTTTGAGTTTAACCTGCTGATGCATATCTTGCATGTCCTCAAGGGAAAATCGCGTATTTTCTTTGAATACTTAAGACTAAATTGCCTCATTTTAACTTCATTTGTACGACGGTCCGTTCAAAGAACATTCATGATGCATCCTGTTTGAGTTAATCAAACTATCTTAACAAACCTTGTTCTTTTCTTTCGTTTTTCGTATTTAGTCGTCTTTCTTTGAGTTCTAATTGTTCAGAAGAACCCGCTAATCTTACAACCAATTTTCCAATATGTGATACTTGATTGTATAATGCAAAAGCTTGTTTCACTTGCGATGGTTCGAAGACAGACACTGGGGTAATTGGTTGTAAGGCTCCACGATTACATAATTCTGATATTTCTTGTAAAAAAGCGTAACATTGTTCAGGATGTATCTTCTGCAACATAACTAGATCGACAACATGAAATGTACAATCCGCCCGTAATTGAAATAAGGGCAGTTTCGAATTAGCAAAAACATCTCGTTTGCCAATTTCAACGAAATGGCCTAGAGGTGCCAACAGTTTCAGAGATTCTTGAAGTAGTTCATTCGCAAGTGAGTTTAAAACAACATTAACCCCATTTGGTACAACTCGACGCACTTCGGTGGCAAACGATAAATCTCGACTGTTAAATACATGTTCGATACCACACTCTTGTTTTAAAAATTTTCGTTTTTCTTCCGTTCCAGCTGTGCAAATAATTGTAACATTACCGATCATTCGACAATACTGAATGGCTGCTAGACCAACAGCACCTGAAGCACAGAAATGTGTTTGTGAAGAAACAAGTGCGTGCTTTTCCTCACCATTCTCATGACAAGTTCGCGAGAAACAAAATCTCTGTTAGTATTTGCTGTATTTTATGCTATTATGTGAGATTGTATACTGCTCTTATATGTATTGGGTACGAACTGCACTGTTACAGGGTGACCTTACCTGATCCTGCATGAATTAATATAGATTGTCCAGACTTCAAATGTGCCCGATCTCTTAGACCGTATAGAACTGTACAAAAGGGTGTTGGCACTGTGCATGCTTGCTCCATGGTTACATTTGAAGGTAATGGAAAAATTTCATTTTTATTCAATACAATGTGCGATTTAAATACTCCAGTGTTGCTTGTTAAGCCAAATACCTTGTCACCAATTCGGAACAAATTAGTAACATCGGAACCAACACGAACAACGATACCAGAGAAATCCGATCCAAATTCTTCATCTCGAGTGTTAGCATTTTGTTGTTGATAATCGAGTCCAAATTGTCGTATGTGAGGATATAAGCCTCTTACCTTGAGTACATCTCTGAAATTGATCCCAACATTATGTACTTTGACAACAACTTCTGTTGGTTTTAGTGAAAATGGAATCAGATCATCACATGTCACCCAATTGAGATCAGATAAGAATCGAGACGGTGCTATTTCTAATTTAAATTGTATCGAGTCAGAATCAACATTTGGAATGATAAATTTGTTGTCAACTGCAGCTAGATTTTTGTCTAACGTTTCCGCCTTAATTTTGTCATAAACAGGTATCCATTTCTGCATAAAAACATTTCCATCATTATCAGAAGAACTGAAGGACAATACAATCTCTTGAACATTTTCATTGAGAGAAGAACTAGTGACTGAAGAATCAATTTCTTTAACTAGTTTATCAACAATATTTGACATTGGCAAATGATCTAATCCTTGGATATCGATTAATTTCAGACGATGCATGCCATATTCATTTACAAGTGATCGTGCAAAGCCAATTAGAGGCGAATGAGTAGGATTAAATGATTTGTTTATTGTCGACTGTCCGTTCTGTGTAAGCACAAATATATTTGGTGAAATTTCTAACTGTGTTTCGTTTCTGATAGCTTGAATGGCTTGGGCGATGTACATGAACGTGCCACATGACATTTCTTCCTGATGTTGAAAAGTGAAATAATTCTCATCTACTACTCGTTCGCTTTCATTATCTTTCATCGGTTCTAAATCTAGCGGCCATGCGAAAACAATATTGAGCAAATGACATTGAGACAAAGCAGTTTGAAAGATATGTTTTATATCGTCAAACATCGTTAAAGTACCAACTTTCACGTGGTTAAATGAATATGCTGAAGTGTCGTTGGAAACCACTAGTGTTATGCTGTTTCCATTATAGTTACGGTGAAGTGTGTCTGCTATTTTCATACCAACTTCTTGTTTATTGTCACAAAAAATAACCCATGCCTGTTGTAACCTTTCTGGAAGATTATTAATAATTGATAAGGATGTTGATTTGCGAGCAATAATAACTGATTGAACAAAGCCTTTGACAAACTGAACTTCATCAAATCCTTGACAAAGGTTAAAAGCATTTACCCATTGTTCTGCAGTTATTATGGCGCGTTTAGACATTTTTCTTGCTATATCATGTGGATTAGTGTTCCACCATTGCGGAAGCAAACCAAATATCAAATCAAGAAATGGTTCTGCTGATGTAATTTCAACAAGAATAATAATTCCGACAGGTGCAAGCAGTTGTCGGATGTTCGATAAATAAATAACAACATTCGACGATGCGTGGACGGCATTGGACGCAAATATAATATCAAATGATTCGGGCTGAAACGCTTGACTTTGGTTTTGCGTATTTTGATTAACAGATAGTGGCAGTAGTGGCTCAGAATCAAAATTGAACACTTGATAATTTAACTGTAAAAGATTTTTCTTATTGTTTTCTTCTAGAATTCTTGAAAATGTTTGTTGTGCTTTTGAAAAAAAAGCTGGTGATATATCAGTAAATGTATATTCAATTATTGTATCGGTGCTATTAGCAAAATCAAGTAATGTGCCTAAAATATGAATCGTTGAATCATACATTAGTCATTTATTATGTTTACTTTACTTCTTCATTCCAACTCTTTTTTATTGATAACACATAATAATTGAATCATTTCTCACCGGTGCCAGCACCACATTCCAGTATTTTGATTACTGACGTTTTATCTCGTCGTTGTTCATTTAGACTATTTTTAAGCTTATTCGTCAATGCTTCAAATGTGCAACGTGATTTAGATTCGTAGAATACTGAACAGCACTCTTTTAATAGACTATCATTTCCTTGTCCGAGTAATAATTGTGATATGTCTAATTTCCCAGTCAATATTTGAGAAAGATTCGATCCGCACACATGATTAAGCAATGGAATCGACTTTATCGATGGAAATTGTTTGAGCATTTGCGATAACAACATATTATTGCTGTGCTCGTTAATCAACGAAAGTTGTTCAGCATATGTGGCTGCAAACTTCCATTGATGTTCACCATTGATGTCTGCACACCTTTCAATAAAGCCTTTGTTTTGTAGAATATCGAGTAATTCATCAAGGAATTTATAATACATCGGTATAACGAGCGACCTCAGTTTCGATTGTGTTAAAATCACATTGTAATCGTCCAATGAAGGGATATTCAAAAGTTGTTTAACCGAAATTAACATATATCGTGCTGACAATTCATTGATAAGATCGATTACTTGTTCAGCTTCATTATCCGCTTGTGTCTTTCCATACTGGATCATGTTTTGAACACTACCGTTATCATTTGCATTAAATAATGTATTTATATCCGGTAATAACCATGCTGAATCAAACATAACATTTGATTGCTTCCAGTATGTCTTGAAACAAAAACGTTCAATCAATGGATTAATTTCAGCAGGTTTTATTCTATTATTAATAGAGGCATTTTCTTTCAGTTTTTGAAACGGCGATATGATACTTGTCACAGAACTACTAACGCCAGGAATGTTTTGTATTTTACAACCGTGAAACATCATCAGGATTTCAGTTGTAAAACAATCACTACTATTAAAAATGAAGAGATCGGATGTGAATTGCTCTTCTGCTGTGATACCTCGTAAGGGTGAATTAAATGAAGCATACGAGAAAACGTTTTGTGTTTGATTCAGTGTAGGTATTAAGCTTTTATTTGTACCACCACATACAAATAACTTATCTATTGAAACAGGCACAAATGTCCCGTTTTCTGGAATAATGGACAGCAAGGCTTGAAAGCAAGCATCAAGAAGCATGGGATAAAAGTAATATTGTTGCATTAAGTCTTCATCTGGTCCATGCAGGGATGGGATAGCAATTTCTGCTAAAATTTCCGATACTTTGCCATACAACGATTTAATATTTCTAAAATTCGGCCCATAGTCGAAACCACGACGAGAAATAAATGTATAAAAATCATTCATTTTGCTTTCATCTAATGCTAAACTCAAGCTGCTTGAGTCCATTCGAAAACGATCCAAAACTGTCTGTGGTTTGTACAATGAGGAAATTAATGAAACATCCGTTTTCATATTAATTAAGCCAGTGGCATGCAGAACCCATTCATTAGTCGAATAAGTGTTCAAGGACTTTTCATCTGTAAACGATACAGCAATATCTGCACCACTAATACCTTTAGAACGAATACTATCTTGGCTCGTGTGCCGTCGACTATAAATAGAAAATTCACGAAATGGCATTTTAATAACAGTATTGATTTGAACTGATTCATCTTCTTTTAAAACTAATGCATTAAGAAATTGAATATTTTCAAACGTTATCGATGTCGTCGATTGCTGAATTGTTTCTTGGGTCGATAACAGAAAACTAAGCTCGTTAACAGCTGCAATTGCCATTTCAATATAACCGGCAGCCGGAAAAATAATATTTCCCTGAATAACATGATCAAGATGAACTAATTCACGTCGTACGTCTTTTTAAAAACACATGAAACTGACATATTGATGAAATACTGTACTAAACGAACAGCCTTTAAGAAATGCAAACTGGTTTGTTTTATTCAAAATAATCTCGTTTCTCCATGTTGGTGTGCTCGCGTCGTTGTGCCATAAACGAACACCAAGAAGTGGGTGGTGTTGAACTTTTAGTGCTCTTCTAGTGAATATGGAATCTTTTGATTCGTACCAACAGGTTTGATGATTGAATGCATAATGAGGCAATCTGTCTAGTGAAGAAAATATCAGTTCGTTTTCTTGTCTGTAATGACTTGTTGTGAATTTTGAATGGTAACGCGATGACCAAAATTTGTTTAAATCAACTAAATTTGAACCAAATAACAAAAATAATTGACCCAATGATGATAAAATCGTTTGTTGCTCGTTTTCTTTACGCTTAAGAGAATGACAAATGAATGGTGTTGTTGATAACTTGTTTTCATCAAAAATTTCTTGAAGAGATGTTGAAAGCACAGGATGTGGAGAAATTTCTAAAAATGCTTGAATGGGGTCACATGAAAAATCTCTAAGAATAGACTCAATAGCATTATTGAATTGAACAGTATTCCTCACATTTTCCCACCAATAATCTCCATTGAACACAACTGTTGACTTGTCAGTACGAGATCCACTAACAGTTGAATAGAGAACAGCATTCGAACAAGCAACATCGAACACCGTTGCCTCTTTGTTTGAAACATAACCATTTATGTCGGCAAGATAAGTGATTAGATCTTTCTGAATATCATACTTTTCCATCTGTTGACTATGAAAGGCATTTTCAACTCTCAACCATCTTTTGAATAGATTTGGTTTGAGCGTAGTAATAAGATCATATATTTCTTCAAGGACAGCTCCATCTCCACTGAGTGTCACAGATTGTGAGCTATTTACAGCAGCTATTGCAACACGATCTTTGACACCTGCAATCAGTTTCTGTGCTTCTGGTACACTAAAAGATGTTGCTAACATACGTCCACCTTGACGTGTATTCCGATGTTGTAAACGAGAACGATAATAAATTACTTTGACTGCTTCTTTTAATGGTAATCGACCACCAACAAAGGCGGCTGATATTTCTCCAACTGAATGACCAACGATTACTTTAGGAACTATACCCCATGATAACCATAGAGCAGTAAGAGCCACTTGAATCGCAAAGATTGCTGGTTGAGCTATGTTTGTATCATCTATGCGAGATGAATGTTCATCTTTAGTAATCAGTTCATCTATCAATGTCCACTCATCGGATAGTAATTTGAGTTCTGTATCGATCTTGTCAATCCATTGACGAAATATTGGTTCTGTACAATACAGTTCACGTCCCATAGCCCACCATTGCGGCCCTTGACCACTATATACAAAGCAAATATTAACAAATGGTTGCGATAACCGTTGTGCAGTTTGTTTTGGAACAATAACACCGGAACAATCATTGTTTGCCAAGTATGACTCCATCTGTTTCTTAAACTGTTCACTGTTTGAAAATGCAAACGACAATCGATATGGAAAGCTCGTGGTTCGTTTTAGCAACATGATACGGCATAGGTGAGCCAAGAATATTTGCTCCTGTGTATCCAATAGTTCTTTGGGTAGTGTTGAAAACCATGAATAAAACTTTTCCATTTGGTTTTTCATTGATTGTTCACATTTTGCTAAAAAAATTGTTAGGATACATAAATATCACATGAATCTTTTTAACATGCAAAATACTTACTTGATAAAATCAGAATAAAATGTTGTTTTATTGGATCATACGTAGGAAGTTTAAGAGGTATGTCGCTGCCATTCTCTAGTATATGATCATGCCCGTTAACAAATCCGTTCATTTGCTCACTTTTTTTGCATTTTTCTAACAGTCCATGATAAGTTTTCCTCGGCGGGTGTTTGAACCATTCACTTACAATTGCATGAGAATTATTGCCACTGATACCAAAAGAATTTACTCCCATCAAAACAGGCTCATCTGGAAGTGGTATCAGATGATTCACAATATGAATGTTATACTGTTTGGCGTGTATTTTTGGGTTGATATGTGAAAAATGCATGTTAGGGATAAGAACACGATGTCTCATACATAGCGCAATTTTAATTAATCCGGCCATGCCCCTGAACTGTTCAGATTCTTTGTGTCCTGTTAAAGTCATCTGTTTATTCTGAAGCATCATATGAAAACTATTGACAATAAACGTAAAATTAACCATTGCGTGGTAGAGGAATGGTAGAACGCAGCACCCTCAGTGTGTCCAATGTTACTTTTGATAGAACCGATAAGGAGTGGAGGATCATATTGAGAACGGTTAAAGAATTTACCAAGCGTGTTTGCTTCAACCGGATCTCCAACTTGTGTACCAGTTCCATGGGCTTCCACGTAAAAAACCTCTTTGAGATCTATTTTATTACGTGAATAAATTTGAGAAAGTAATAAATGTTGTCCGAATGTTGACGGGACAGTGTAACCAGTTTTGAGCTGATTGCCATCATGATTAGCGAGCACATCTCTGATGACGCAATGGATATGATCATTGTCTGCTATGGCAGCATTTAGTTTCTTAAGAAGTATTAGACCAATACCTTCACCTTTAGCGAAACCATTCGCATCGGCGCTGAATGAATGAGAAATTCCGTCATGGGACAAAGCACCAACGAACGTGCTGTTCATAAAATTTTCGGGGCTATAATTTGTATTCGCTCCGCCCGCTACGGCCATCTCTGCTTCGTTATTCCTTAATGCTTGAATCGCAAGATGGACAGCTTGGAGAGAGGTAGAACAAGCCGTATCTAACGATACATTGGGACCATGAAGATCAAAATGATACGCAAGTCTTGAAGAAGCATTAAAAAGACCCATATTAGGACCCATGAAGCGCCGTTGAGCTTCCGCTTTTTGACGAGAAACTGTTAATAAATGATCATTTGAATATTGACCAATATAACAAGCTGTCCGTGTTCCTCTAATTTGATCCAATGTATAACCAGCATCCTCAATAAGATGAATGAATTTTTCAAGTACAAGACGGTGACAGGGATCCATCGTCATTAGATTATTCATTTATCATACGACTATTTTGTTTGATCTTAATTAGCTTATAATTTACGAATATTCCTTTCTTTGAAGTTTTGACAATATTTGAATACTTCACATAGCTTCACCGTCTGTGATACCGAAAAATGCGGAATCAAACTGGTCGAGCACGTCATTATCAAATAGATATGCTCGACGCACCAAATCATTTTTAACGTTCGGATATATGTTCGCTAGATGGGCCGTAAAAGAATCAATATCAAAACGCTCGTTTGGTATTTCTTTTCCGACATCAATACTGCTTTTCAGGACATCCCATAGTGATTCAGGAGAGTTGATTCCGCCTGCGAAAGCACACGCCATTCCAATAACAGCAATTGGCTCTAATGGAGACATGTTAATGTTATTAACAGTGTTCTCTAGAACACCATTTTCGTCTTCTCCTTTCTTAACAAACTGTTCTGGGTCAATAATTCTATGAGGCATTGTTACGGACGCTGTAGAAGAAATAAAAATAGAACAAGATCATAGAGTGCTTGGATAATGGAGTTCAGCAAAAGTGTAGGTTGTTTACATCATCTTAGAATAGTTTATTCCCCGAAGAAGTGTAATTAAAACTATAAAAAGACAACAAAGATGAACGGAGCAATCTCAAATAATAGTACTTAGGCTAAGTCCGGCGCTACTCAATCATCTATTTAGAACATCTATAGACAACAATTTCGAGCTCCCGATTTAACAGTCGATCTTATCATATCCATGTAAACATTTAACATGATGATTATATACCGATGAGCTATCATAAGAATTATCAATTCCATTTTTTATAGTCACAGTTGCATAAGTTAACGCGTACAATAAAACCCAAAACGTCATCAGCAAAAGATCGAGTAACGAACAAAACAATTAAAGATGCTTTATCCATTCTGTCCTACTGTGTTCGTTTATTATTATCATTGATTACCCCCTCGTTATTAGTGATCTGAACATTGACGAACAGCAAACATGTTCATGTTCGTTAATCCTTCAACGTTTAGAATCGTTTTGTTAATCTGTATCTACAAGTTGCACTGTATCTACTACAAGCACTAAAAATAGGAGAGACAAAACGAGTCGCAACGGACAGAGATGCTGCTACATACTTTCGGCAGAGAAAGCAATCAACAACTCTGAAAAGACCAACAAAGTCGAACGCGTAAAGAAAAAGGCCCATGTTTATCAAACTGGCAAAAACCACCAATTAACATCGGTTAAGCGTCCAGTTGAGTGTGCGCTTTACCTTTCGGTTAATCGCAATTAACTGCGAACCGGCACGAAATGCTCGGTTAATCGTGGTTAATTGACGTTGTTTTTTGCTGAGCACGCGATATGAGTACAAATCCTCTTCCGAGCATTTTTTCATTTTTCTTTTGAGTGTCTGTTCATGTGGTTTTTCGATAAATCATGTTGGCTTTATACACATATAGTGACCACAAGACAAAATGATAATTGAAAAAGAAACGGTTAACCGTCGGTTCTCCGAAATCACGCGATGAATTTCCAAACCGCAGTATCAAAGATGTTAACCGCGATTAACTGACGGTTTATAGCAAACCGCGGTCAATTGGTGATTATTTGAAGAACCGTCGGTACAGACGGTTTTCCGTAAAAATAGACGACGTGGGGAGATACGAAAGAAAGGAAAATGCAAGACATCGTTAGTGACGACAAACTAACGAACCTATGGGGCGACAGAAGACAGTTCTAAAAAGACTTAAATTGCAAACATAACACCATGGACGTTCTGGGGTTTATGTAGACCCGTACTCTAAACTTAAGCTGATAAGACTCATGTACGAAATTTAATAACACTCTTGCATACAACCGTCAGAAATATGATTGGGAAAAATAGTGGCTTGAATAAATAAATACAGGCATGACAGCAAACAAAAAATTACAAAACGGGTCCGATAGGATCCGTAGACTTCAACCAAGGGTTAAACATCGTTATTCTGTGAAATATTTAGTATGCTGAACTCAATTTCGGATGGTCCAGTTTAAAATATTGAGTCATCTACTTGCATAATGATGATAAAACATCTTTTTCTTAGCACGTTGAACCGAACACGTGATTTAGTAGTATTACAAAAGGGTTAATGTAGTTTGTTAATGCACACTAATCTCTCTACTGGTAAAAACTGAGAAATATATATGTCGCTTTTTGCAGAAAACTGCAAAAGTAACCAAGTAATTAATGAATTATATCAGCATTTTTCTATCACGCTTCTTCTTTCTTGACAGACCAGTTTTTGTTTTCACAGCGTTTTTCGTGACCTAAAAGCTGTGCATCAGATCTTACTGTTGTAGCCAAAGAACTTGGGATAGAAAGCCATCTGGCCTAAGCGTGTTTTTGATGTTAATCTCTCGATTTAATAGCTTATAATTACTGGTAAATATATACAAAAGCTCTTCTCCTGATTATATATGCATGGATTAGACAAGCGGAAATAGTTAGTCTGAATGATGTGCGTGTATAAATATTATCAGAGCTAATAGAAGATATCTCTTTCTATGTGCAAGAATTTCTGGGATACCCTACGATCAGCTTTTCTTAGGGTTACATGCCTGCTTAAAAGGTATGTATACAAATACATACCCGAATCGAATAATATTTACTTGATCAAATATATCGAAATATAATGTCGTNTATATATGCATGGATTAGACAAGCGGAAATAGTTAGTCTGAATGATGTGCGTGTATAAATATTATCAGAGCTAATAGAAGATATCTCTTTCTATGTGCAAGAATTTCTGGGATACCCTACGATCAGCAAAAGGTATGTATACAAATACATACCCGAATCGAATAATATTTACTTGATCAAATATATCGAAATATAATGTCGTTACTTTGTCAAAATGTTCACCGAAAGCTAGTTTTTCGACAATGCTACTCTCTGATAGGATTAGGGAGAAAAGAAATTGTATCGTAGGCTTTTATAGTCTAATATTCTTACTCAACCGTAACGAATTACGCTTGCACTTGTGCAGTAAAACTATCGGTGAGTACAACTAACGCTCACTAACACCCACTAACGCTCACTGACACCCACTAACGCTCACTGACACCCACTAACACTCAAAATAATATGTCAGAATAATCGCCATCCTTTTTTGAGCATATTAGATCACTTTTGAATCCATAGGAAATCTGATCAGAGCAGAAGTGATCGGACCACTGAACTTCGGGGTGTGATCCTCCTGTATAATCAAAAATAATTTTTTTTCTCAATAAAAGCGATTCATAAAGTACAGCAGAAGAACGGCCGTGAAATTCTCTACAAAACTTCTGCTGGTTATATGAATCAAGATGGAACAGCAAAATTATTTTATAATAACGACAATGAAGCTATTAATCATATGTTAAAAAATGGCTCAAATTGGGAACGAAGACCATTATCCGATGTATTGGATCTAATTGATAGATCATTAACAGCACAAAAGAACGAAACAATCAGAAGTTTGTATGGAGGTGGTGAATTACAGTTAATTAGTCCTTTTGTTCCGTAAGAGCAAGTATAACTCTCCTGGTCTGAAAAAGTAATCTAATCCTTTTTTGATTTGAATATGATAGTAGAATCTGGTCAAGTAAATCTCAATCAGAACGAGCACAAATAATACGCGATTATTATGCTTACCAGCTACCTATACGGCAACCAACGACTGATTTTAATATTCCAGCTACTGCAGAACGAAAACCTGGGAAGAAAAGTATTCGTGAAACAACATCAACCATAAGATCATCAAGAAATAGAAAAAAAGGGCTTTAAATATGTAATTATTAAACATATACATTATGGGATACCCTCAAGAAAACAGGTCGCTGCTAATAAAAAAATTGAAGAACAATGGGTTATATATTCCGAGGCTGTAGTTTTATAGAGAATTTCACGACCGTTCTCCTGCCGTACTTTATGAATCACTTTTATTGAGAAAAAAAATTATTTTTGATTATACAGGAGGATCACACCCCGAAGTTCAGTGGTCCGACCACTTCTGCTCTCATCAGATTTCCTATGGATTCAAAAGTGATCTAATATGCTCAAAAAAGGATGGCGATTATTCTGGCATATTATTTTGGGTGTTTGCGTCACTTTTTTGGGTGTTAGCGTATTTTAGTAATACCCCTATAATAGTATTAATAAACACACAGTGTTAGTAATCACACTTCTCGAATTCAACACTCATCTTTGTGTTACTTATTAGGATATCTTGTATTTGGAGAATGAATAATGTAGCCACCTTTACATGATATTTTAGATATCGGTCTTCCACAGACAAGCACTTCTCAATTTATACTCTTCCAAACCCCCTAATGTTCCGTTTCTCTTTAAGAAATATGCGAGAGTATATCATATTTTGCAAATTGATAGAAATTTTTAGAAAGTAATATAGTTTAACTTAACTGCAATGCTAATCTGCATATCCTTAAACACATTAGTCGATGTGTTTATTGTACTCAGTTATGTTTAGGTCAAATATACTACGCATTTTTGTGCACCTCTTAAAAAAGTTCTTTTAACGGATGAAACTCGGCCTGTTTCGAAAAATTTACAGAGAAACGTTGTTGTTTGATGGATCTACCCATATGGGCAAATGCTCGTCAGTCTTTTGAAGGTTAGAAACATAATGCAAGTATCATGTGGAAACATTCATCTGTTTACTTCACTATACTTAAGTGCCTATCTAAAAGATTGCCAAATTTTCTGTAAAGAGTAAGCTTCTAAGAGAAAAAGTTTCGTAAGAAAAATTTGATTATCTATATTATGAAGCGTACGAATAAAGGTTTCATGTTACATGGTGGGAATGTACTGGAATTTAAAATGCTTAAATTTGAATTGTTTTAAAGAAAACAGGCTGGACGAATACAAAAAGTTCTTGTACAGCTCCCCTACATTCTATTCACCAGTTAAAACTTGTTTTGCGCATGGATAAGCATGACGATTGATAACCTGTTCTCGCCTAGTATTGTGAAGAGCGAGATGTTTTAGAACCAACTGTTCGATAAGTACTATGCGTACTCTCTGAGTATGTGACTGTCTTTTTACCCTAAATCAGAACAAGATTGCCAGTATTAGATTGTTTACTCCAGTACGAATTCTATGTATTCTTATGTATTTTTGATTTTCATTTGATTTGAATGCAGTTCGTGTTTTAGG